TAGACGTAGCATATTTCAGACCACTCAAAAGCGCATGGAGAGATGTTCTTTTAAATTGGAAATTGAAGCATCGGGGGGTAGTACCGAAAGATACTTTTCCCAGACTGCTAAAAAATTGTTTGGATCAACTTGATGTAGACAACAAGACATCAGCAAATCTCATAGCTGGATTCCGTGGAAGTGGAATTTATCCAATCAACAGAAACAAAGTACTAGATAAGTTGCCACCGAGCTTAGAACAGCCAAATGATGAAAACAATTTTGTAGTGTCAATAGATAATGCTTTTCAAGTCTTTTTAAGCAATCTATATACGAAGGAAACAGTAACCGGTACGAGGAAAAGAAAAAAAATTCTAATCGAGCCTGGAAAGAGTGTTGAAAATACTACTCTAGAGAGTGTTGAAAATACTACTCTAGAAGAAGTAGAACAGACGGTAAATGAAAATGGAGTCCATGGAAACCAGGAAGAAATTGAAGAAGAGCTACCTGATTTTACTCAATTTAATAACCCGACACCGTCAACATCAAAAGCAAAACCTATTATTTCTCGAAAAAATAAAAAAAGCGTAGATTCCTCCAGTGACAGTAATGATTCCTTTTCCACGCAATCGTCATATGATAGCCCTGAAGATTTTGAAGAAGACGTGGATATGGTTGATCCTTCGGATATAAAAGTTGATGACTTTATTTTGGTGCAATTTTCATATGAGGCTCCCCATAAGCCAGCTATTTTGAAGAAATTCATTGGACAAATTATTGAACTAAAGCCGGATTTAGTTTTGTGTAAATTTATGCGCAAATCACCACAAGGAAAAAATATTTACGTATTTCCAGATATTGAGGACGTCACAGATATTAATAAAAATCAAATTCTGTCAAAGCTGGTTCCTGTGTTTGTTCGACGAGGAAGATTTACTTTTTCTATTGAACTTTAAAAACCTGGCACAATTGTTTAAAACATTTTTTTTTTCGTTAAAATGAGTTTTTTATTTGTTTTTTAAGAGTTATGTTTTATTTAGATTAGTTTCTACCAAAGTTTTTCAAGTTCCTACTTATTTTTTAAGAATTAAAACTTTAGTTTTGTATTAAAAATGTAAAATGTTTAAAATAATTATATTTTTCCAAATAAGAGTTGTGTTTATGAAATAATATGTTCTATTACGTTTTTAAAGACTATTAATGTCTCAAGTCCGCAAATTGACGGTCCGTCTTGAGTTTATAATGAAAACAAATTACTGTCTCAAGTCACCGCCCCTGTGAAGCTGACTTGAGACACCCAAAAAAACAAAAAAAAATATTTTCTGATAAATTTTAGGTCATTTTTATTATTGAATTTTGAAGAATGTATGTAGACTCAAAAATGTGTCCTTGTTTCATAATTTTAATTTGCTGGAATACAATTTTACAGTCCTTTGAATTTTGAAACTGTCTCAAGTCACCCAACTTGACGGTAATTGAGCAAATGTCACAAAAACCAGACAATAAAGACCTAACATTGATATTACCTATTTTAATATTACTGTATTTAGTTTTGTTATTCATAAATTATGTTAGATTTTAAGTTATTTATATGATTTTGAAGGACCCAACAATTATTTGTCTCTTTGGTACTATGGTTAACGTCATGTCTGGTTTTATGTTTGATATTATAGTTTACACAGTTTATACATTTTTTAAAATTTGATCCACATTCATTTATAGAATGCTCTTCCGAGCAATGAGGACATACTTTTTGATGTTTACAGATTTTGGAGATATGGCCTATACCTGAACACTGATAGCATTTAATTACTCTTATATAATCACTGACTGAACAACGTTTCCACCCCAGATACAGGTACGATCTCTCCAGAATTTGTTTTCGCAGCTTAGGACATACTTCTATATTAACATCTTGGGATTTGCTATGGGAATATTTCAAAATCGTAACTATTTTTAGATCTTCCGTAGTAAATGGTTCCAATTGATTCATAGAAAAAATATTTTCAATAATATCCTCATGCGACTCCAAACTACTATCTACTTGCATATGTTTTATCATTAATCGGGGATTATATTTCTGAGACTCACTTATGTTATATGAAGATCAAACCGTTTTTTGAATTGACGTCTTTAACTTCTCTAGCGATAATTCATCCTCACAATTTAGTACAACACCATTTTTTATCTGTTTAGTGCTATTAATGCAAACATTTAAATCAGCAAGTTTGACACGCCTCTGGATATCGCTAAGAATATCTATATTGGAATTTTCCTTATTTGTACTTTTTATCACCATACTAAATGGAGTTACTTTATTATTCATCGTTTTTTGAAGAACATTACTATAAGAAACAGTAGAAAATGTCAGGTTAATTTCAATATTGTAACTTGTTTGGTGCTTGTGAAAAAAATTGTTAAACAAATTTTATGTACCCCCTTTAAGGGGCTGTATCTTAACAAGGGATGTTCCAATGAAGTTTCTTTACATGAAAAATCCTATCTTTTTTTCGATGAGGAATGACCCCCTTAAATGTTTTACACTTATTTAGTTACACCCTGTATTGTCGAAACGTAAACAGGCCTGTAGAAAGATAAACCTTTGTAGAGACAATGTTTTTCTAAACAAACTTATCCCCGTACCATCTGTTGACCATAGATCTTCAAGATTAAGTCTAGCAGATTTGAATACTCCTGAGAAATAAAGGTACTCTTATTGCAAGTCGCTTAAAGCAATGGTTTTCGAGAAAATTGAAGGCAAACATTTTACTGAACCCGTATTTGAAAAACAAGTATGTATGTATTTTTTTATGGGTTGCTCACAAATAAATCAACATAAATTTATAAAAATTATGGCGTGGTTATTTCATTTTAGAATTACCAAATCGCCCTGTTAAACAAGAGAAGCGCCGAAATTATTTTAAAGAATAAAAGAGAGAAATTAAAGTGAAAAATATTTTATTACTATTATGGAAAGTACCGTATTTTTTTATCATATCAATCTGACTCTTTTATTTAAAGTAAATGTTCAATGTGGCCACCATTCATTTCAATACAGACACCTGCTCTTCTCCTCTAGGATCTGCGTACCCTATCGAAAATCCTTGGCGTTGTACGAATTTGATTGGAGCAGTCAATTATCCGTTGTCGTGATTGCTCTTCAGTATTAATCGGCACTGAGTAAACCAAAGCTTTTAAGTGACCCCATAAGTAGAAATCAAGTGGATTAAGATCTGGTGATCTGGCTGGCCAAGCTTGTGGACCACCACGTCCTATCCAACGCCTCTCGAAAGCTTGATTTAAATGATTTCTCACGGCTAGTGGAAAATGAGTTGGTGCACCATCGTGTATAAAATACATAATCTGCCTCTGTGCTATTGGAACTTCCTCCAAAAGTATTGGTAAATGGTTTACCAAAAAATGAAGGTAATTTTGTCCATTAAGCCTAAAAGAATAATAATAATAATTAGGAATTGGTGACGTTTGAACAGTTTTAAAATTTACCTATTGGGTAGAAAGAATGGTCCAATAAGTATATCTCCAAGAATTCCCGCCCAAACGTTTACTGAGAATCGAACTTGGTGTCGGCTTTCTATGACAGAATGAGGATTTTGATCGGACCAGTAATGGGTGTTGTGGTAATTAACAATCCCATTTTTGGTAAACCCTGCTTCATCAGTGCATAAAATGTTTGACAGAAAAAAGGGATCTTCTACCAGTTTTCTTAATAACCAACGACAGAAATTGGTACGAGCGGGATAGTCTGGAGGATTAAGGGCTTGTACCCTTTGGATGTGGTATGAATACAGCAGTTGAGTATGAAGAGTCATCCACACAGTATGGCGACTCACGTTTTCTCGCGCTGCAATTCTCCTTACAGATAACCCCGGATCTTCCTCTACACTTCTTAAAATTCGCTCTTCAATTGCTGGTGTACGCACTGTTACATTACGGCCGCGATCATGGTGCCTGTTACTAAATGAACCTTCGTCTCTCAGGCGCTGATGGACTCTGGCAAATATCCTATGAGAGGGTGCTCTGCGATTTGGATATTTTTGAATATACAAACGTTTAGCTAAAAGACCGTTTCCGTTCGCTCTTCCATAAATAAAATGCATATCTGTCAGTTCAAGTACAGTGTATTCCATAATTTCTGGTATATTACGCTCACGTACACTTCAAAAACAAGAAACTAACAGAAATACTTAAAAACCAGAATAATTTTAGGCAAAATTATTTACAATTTCTTTTTGTTAAATTAAAATAAAATTGTGATAAGGCCATGTACATGGTTATTGTTCTGTCCTAATTTGATTATTCCATTTACAAAAAGTATTCATTGACAGTGGCGTGCCCACAAATTTCTTCTTGGGTTTGGGTTGCCACTTACCTTCCGATTGTAAAGTTGAGAGAAAAAAATTGACCCACAGACAAATAATAATTTTTCATAATAAAATTTCTTCGACATTACTTGAACATATTTTTTTTCTTTAGTGTTTATGAGTTTTTTGGGAGGTTGATTAGTTTAACACGTCACAATTTTCATAAATTTACGTTTATTAATCTGTGAGATACCCATCAAAAAATAAGTAATTTTACTTTTCGTTTTTCAACTACAGGTTTACCAAACTCTTTGCCTTCAATTTTCTCGAAAACGGTTGCTTTAAGCGACTTGCAATAAGAGTAACTTTTTTATGGAAAAAAGGTAGTTGTTTTTAAAAAATAGACCCACGTTGTAAAAAAATCAACCCCTAAAAAGTTAATCAACAAGGATTTTTTTCGAAGTTTTATCGTATTTTTTAAGTTTACAATTTCAAAAAAACCACTTTCCAAGTTTGCCCTTTTGACGCCCCTAAATCCCTTAATATGTATTTGACGACCCATAGTTATGGGAACTTTGTTTACTAGTTTTAGGAGTACTATCACCTCCCGAATTTCTTTTACACTATTTCAATGACACCCTGTATAAAGGGTTAACAGAAAATGTAGAGAATGCATTTTAAATGTTTATGGTTTTTTAGGTTTGCTCATCGATGGTCATATAATTTGTTTAAATTCCATCGATTTAATAAAAAAACCATATAACATCGAGACAGAAGAAAGTTACTATTTTCTGAAAGTTTTCCTGTTTTGTCTTCCTTTGTACCTACGCTTTTCCAATGGGATATTTGTAAGTTTCGGTTTTTAATACGAAAAATCGTGTTAAATAGCTTCTTTTGCTTTTATTTCAGGTTTTGGAAAGATGCAGAATCGTTACTAAAACGTTGAGTATACTCACCAGACGAAGTATTATCATGAACCCAAATGAACATACGAGTGTAGTGAAAATATTGGCTTTTAAGGTTTTCAACAAAATAGTACCGCGCTTAGAAGAGGAATTCATAGAGAATTCAGGACCTGTAGTGTAATTATTTTTATTTTTATTTATAGTACATAGAAACAAAATTAAAATTAATTACGATAAACATAAAATATATAAACAAAAATTGCTAGGAAATATTTTGGTGTCCTTTGAATATACAAAGTGTTAGTATCCTAATAGCTCAAGAAGGCTTTTCTACAGAGAAGCTCCTAATTAATGATTTTTGATATAGAAACATGAACTCTTAAAGACAATCTGTCAACATCTCTGGGTTTAATAATTGTTAATTTATATGGTCTATAATTTAAATAATACGTTCTAACTTCTTTATATTTCAATTTTAATCAACATACACATTTCCATTTATGTCTTACAACAAAAGACGTATATAATACCATTGTATAACATTGTATAAAGAACTAATAGTGGTCTCACCTTATGGAAATTTCATTGGAGCGAAATGGATACTACCAATAGATGGCGCTAGTGAATATGGATGAGTCGATATTCGTTTGCAGTGGGCGGAGTTGAGGGTCCACCTGAAATTTTAGTGAATGATGGGGACCGATCGATGGATTTCTATTTTTAGCTCTTGGATGAAATTTCATTCACTCGTGATTTATTATTTGGACTATTTTCTAATGTTTGTTATTGTGCATTTACGGGTAGTAGGTATTATGAATGAGTTGTGTTTTTTTTTTCTTACTGAGTTATTTTACTGTTAATAAAGGACGAGTTCCCAACAAGAGTACCTACATGATTTATATAAAAAAAATTAAATTATAGTTTAAATTAGTTTTTGAAAAGTGTCAAAAATGTTTAACCGAATTCAGTAAAATGATACTGAAAAATAAAAATATTATAGCCATTAATAATTTTTGAATTTTCTACGGGTATTTTTTTTTCTAGGCATATTTCGTTAAAAATAGTTTTATTTTTAATCAGATAATCTTTAGTTGTACTATGTCCCATTCTTAATGATATATATTATGATATAAATTAGTTAACTATTAATTAATGTTTTAAAATTAGAATTAAAAATTTGTGTATTTATAACTGTTTTAAAATTAATAAAATAGAAAATATGCTTCTGTTTTTCTTTTCTTTTACAGTTTTATCCGAATTAATATAAAATAAATTATATAATATTAATAATAGTAATAACAATACATTTCTTAAGTGTTGAGAAAAATTGTATTTTTAATTCAAATACATATACCTACAGGTAGGTAGGTAAGGTACCTACCTAAGTTCTTGGCATAAGCCGAGAATAACGATCAAGAAGAAGCGCATGTGTCAAAGTCAGTCCAAGTTGTGTTTAGTACGTGAGCAATGTTAAGTGATATTTTTTGGTGTTTGTTTTGTGTAGTAATAAGATGAAGATTTTTACACACTTATGTATTCTAATGCAGATATAAAATGTGCCAAAAAAGTTACTAGGAAACTAAGAATTTTATCACATGCATAAATATTAAGTATAATGATTTAATTATTTTTGACATTTTATTTTTCATATGTAGGTATTGTATTTTGTGAAATATATGTTTTTTTCTTTTAAATAAATTTCATAAACAATGAACTGGAGATTTTGTTTATTTTATTTTGAAATTATATTTAAAAAAGTATAATAAATCCGCGTGTTTCAATTAGGATTGGTCAAAATGGGCAAAATCCCTTTATTATGGCTACATTGTAAGGTACAATTATGTCAATATAAAGATGTTTTGCCCATTCATATTTACATTTATTGAATAAATCATACTGGAGTTGATTTTGGAAATATTGGTGCATGTGCATACTTAAATAAGTACTATTTCAAAAAATTCGTCTATGCCCAGACAGCACACATAGTCCAATGTACGTCCACTTTAGATCTATTTGAAGGTCAGGACGTCAATATCCAGGCATCCATTGTACGTCCGTTTATCCTAATTAAATTGACAGCTGAATATTAATACCCAGAGAACGTCTGTTTTTGGACTTAATTTTAAGTTTAGTAGTATTTTGACGTCCAGTAGACGTCCATCTTAGGTCATTATTTATTAAGCCTACCAGATAATACTCATCTATAATATATACTTCTTTTTTTAATATAACTGGTCATTAAAAATTGACAAATTGAATCTATTGCATTTTATTCTATCAGCGGAAGTTTGAAATCTTATTCAATTATAACTGAATCTAGTAAAAAGTTTTCAAGTGGTTCCTTGGTCGAGCTCGTCTAGCGATTGAAAGGGTAAAACGATAATGGATGTGTCGTGAGTTCGATGCCTGCTCAGGTCAAGCGATTTTTAATAAAAGAAAAATAAATGGTGTATAGCGGTTTGCGAAAATAATAAACAAATTATTAATAATATAAAATAGTGTGTGGTAAGTTGCGGTTCTGTAAAAATTAGTGGGGATGCAGTCTCAATGGAAATATACTCCTGGACGTTTTTTGAAAGTTCAGTATTCGACGTCCAAATATATTCCAGAATTGAACGTCCTCTGAATGGTCAAAAGTGTGCCATTTGTATTCTTCACTGGACGTCTATTGGATGTTGGAAGTCCAGAAAAAACTCATTCTTGGACGTCTAGACATCCAAAATTGTATATCGAATGGACGTCCAATGGACATATTTGTATTGTCTGGGTGATAGCCAGGCCAGGTATTTAACTCTAAATACATAAACCTTAAATGACATCTGGCTTAACTTGGCGAGAAAACACTTGTTTATACAGAAATGAGTGATAAACTTGAAAGTCCTTTTAATATAATATAAATCCAGAAATTCTAAAAATATGTAAGTACTTTTTAAACATAAAAGTTTTTGAAAATATAAGCACATTGCAAATATTTAGTTAAATATCTCAAACTTAATGTCTTTTTAATTGTTACTTAAATTTTTTTTGGCACCCCTAATTTTATTTACCTTATTTTTACTTAAGGAAAAAGTAATTTAATTTAAATATGGGGCTTTTATTACATTTTTAACAATAAATAAACCAAATATTGAACAAATTTTATAGATAAATTATAAAATAATAAACGTCTTTTACTTTTATAATAAATAATTAATTATTACATAATGAATAATATTTTGGTGCCGAAATTTCACCATTGTTATTAACCCTAACTACTTCAATATAATTAAATCACATTACAACATTTGCGCATGGACTATAACAATGATTTCATATAATTTGCCAAACTATTTCGCTCAGTGTAGAAAATAAGCATGTTTTCTCAGCGTGCTAAGTTGTGTATCAATCAAAGTCATGCTGTGAAAAAGGTACATCCGATATCAAAGGCACCGACAACTACTGTCGCTTCTCCTTGATCGTTATTCTCGGGCATAAGTAATTATAAACAATAGGTTATTTCTCTAATCTGGTGTGTAACAATGTAATTAAAAAAACTCTTAAGATGGTTGGTAAATAATATAAATAAAGTAAACACAATGGGTTTTATAAAGATTTTTGGTATGAAAATCACTTCCCTATTATGTTTGATAGTAAAATAATCCAAATATAGGTAGTTTACAGTGAGGAAGAAAAAGTGTAAATATTTATAAGATATTTGACGTTTAATTAATCAGGAAAGAATAAAAATCATTCCGAAAATTGAATAAAATATATATGTATGCTATCCCTATTAAAAAATATTCATGTTAAATTCTGTGAAATATGCACGCCACTGATATGGTCATTTGATGACATTGTTATAAAATTCGGTCAATGTAAACATTATACAATAATAATTATGGCATAAAGGGAGGGTAATTTATAATGAATAACCCTGTTAGGTACCTAATAACTTTCAGTAAAAAAATTTTAATTCGCACTTTTTTACGTAGATTAAAGAAAAATGTAATTTCGTGTTTTCTTGGTGCAGACATTTTGCGAGACACTGTATATTCAAATCCAAAATGATGTATTTTCTTTTAACACATAGGTACCTAATACAAATTTATTAGCAAAATTTAAATACTTGTTATTTTCGGTATAATTAGACAAACACATTTATAGTTTCATTGTCAAAATATTTAAATAAAATTACCGTACCTTATAATATTCTATTATAATTTGATGTTCCCTAGTGGCCATAGCAAAAAGACGAAATTTGAGCATGAAGATTTAGATTAACGTAAAATTAATGTTTTGAAATTAATTTAAGTTTGACCAATTTAGAAAATAAAATTAATTAATAAAAAGTGTCTACTAGTGGATTTGAACTTGGAACCTTTCGATTCATAGACGAGTACTCTAAATATTCGTTATGGAGGCTTACGAGAAAGTTTTACTTTTTAACGCTGATAATCAGATTGCTTTTAGTTTCATTAAAATCTCAGTTTATTTTTAAATATAGACGAATATTATGTGGAATGCTATTATTTATTGATTCTTTACAAGAATCACTAATTTTTAATTATATTTAATCTTAATAACTAAAAAAATATATATTGACAATTGATTTGACGGAATTGTCACTTATAAAGTTCTAACATCTGACGTAGAGGGCGTATCTAACCAGTAAATAAAATCGTTAGTTCAACGATTATACCAATAGATGTCGAGCGCTATTGCCTCCAATAACTTTTACATGGCGATTATCCTACTATAGTTCTTTATACAATGATAATACGTATTGCAATTGAATGGAGCACAGTTGGTTGCATATTCACAAACAATAAAGTCCATTATTGTTGAATTTTTTGACATAGCACATCTTGCAGTAAATGGAATACTAAAAATACAACATTTTCTGATTTATCTTAAATTATAAATTTATACAGGACTAAGATTTATATATTTTTTACACTAAGTATAAAATAATAATCTTGATTTACATTTTTTTAGAATGCTTACTGTATTGAAAAGCGTTGACAGCTCTCCAATGGGTTTAGCAATCGCCTTAAACTGTTTGGACACCATAAGATGTGTCGTGAAAAATGACACGTCAAAATGTGTTTCAAATTCAATAATTTTTAATCACGGAGACGATACTTTGCTTGGTAAGTTTCATTGTATTTCTCTCTTTTACTTTCCTATCTCGGAAGTAATTTTAGCTCCAGCCTTAAGTTGTAATTTTTATACCTACTAAACTACCGTTACAAAATATGACTTGAGTACTGGAGAGAGATTAGATACTTTTTGCCCAGTTGGTCGACGATTTTCGTCTTTCCATTGTCTTATCTTCTTTAAAATGGGATCGTTCTCTTGTTCTTCCCTAAGTTTAGCAGAAGCCCACTCATCGTTAACTACAGTTTTTATTAGTCCACTTTCTTTGGATTCAGCTTTGTTGCAGTGAGAGCACTCTTCTACAGAGAGAATCGGCATTTCTGTGGCTTATTCCGGCTCTACGTTCGATTTTAAAGTCGTACTCTTGAAGTCGTTCAATCCATCTGGCGATTTGCCTTCCGGGTTTTTGAACTGCATCAACCACTTAGAGCCGGCATGATTGGTACGGATTAAGAATTTCTTTTCATATAGGTACTGGTAGAAGTGTTCCACACATTTCACAACTGCCAGGAGTTCTCTTCTTGTGACGCAGTAATTTCGCTCAGGTTTCGAGAGCACTATACTAAAATAACCCAGTACTCTTTCTTTTCCCCCTTGAATCTGTGAAAGCACTCCACCAATGCCCACATTACTGGCATCAGTATCCAGGATAAATTCTCCCTCTGATAGTGAATCGCCTAATATTGGCACTGTTGTAAAAAGCTTCTTTAAAGTTTTGAAGGCAGTTTGGCAATCTTCGTCCCAGCAGAATTCTCTTGCTTCTTCTGTGGGTCGCATTAGTGGTTTAGCAACAACTGCCAACTTCTTTATGAATCTTGGGTACCAAATTTGATCAGTCTGTTTTTAAAGTCTAACTGGAAACTATGTAAGTTCATAATATCCATTCCAAGTATAAAATCTTCTTCGATATCAGCGACAATAACAGTATGAGTGAACTTTTCTCTACCAATTCCCAATTGAACCTAGATTTCCCCATGGATGTTGGCACTTTCACCTGTGACAGTTCGTAGTCGCAATCTTGTTGGTAGAAGTTTCTTACGGTTATTTATGGTTGTTGGTCGTATAATGGTCCTAGTTGCTTCAGTCTCCACCAACAGTGTATACTCTTTACCATTTACTTCGCCGTCTACGTATACACTATCAACGCGATATTTCAAAGAGGCTTTCAGTATGAGAGGGTCTTTGAAACGGTTTCGGGTCGAAACTGCCCCCTCTAGGCCGACCCGCTCTAGTTTTCCTACGACATGTTGTCTTCATTTGTTGGGATCCTAGGGCGTTTGCGCGAACTGCGTACATATCCCAGTTCACCGCAATTCCAGCACCTGATAATCTTTGTCTTCATCATTGAAGCTCTTCATTATGTTAACTAGTTGGTCGAGTTTATCTTCTACGTTTTCTTCTTTTACAGTCCTCACTTTACTGTATCCTCCAGAAGCCTGCGTAGCTGCTTCATACTCTAAAGCAGCGGACAAGACATCGACCAATGTTTTGTGGCAAGCTAAGCGAAGTGTTTTCTGCATTTCGTGGTCACGGAGTCCATCAACAAATTTTGGACTGCCAAACATTCCAGTTTTTCGGAGCTGATGGGTAAGCAAATCGCAACAATCTGGCAATATCTACATTATATTCTTGAAGGGCCTCGTCTCGTTTCTGTTTAGGATTCTTTAACTGTGATTGGTATAGATGCTCGAAATGTTCGTGGCCTTATCGCAAGTTTAGTCTCTTTTTGAGTTGCTCAAAATCATCTGTCTCTTCCACGGGTACAGCCTGAACGACACCTGAAGCGTCTCCTCGAAGGGCGATTGTCAGATTCACTGCCTTTTCTCTCTCAGACCATTCGTTTGCTCTTGCAGCTGTCTCGAACTATTTAAGGTAGATTGTCCTTGACATCTTCCCGTAAAAGGTTGAGGCTTTAACCCGAGCAGAGTTTACAGCTCCTTCCAATTTTAACTTCGACTCTACCTCAAAACACTTTATTTCACCATCCTTAGCCGATTCTGAATGTTCCAGTTCTTTTATCTTTTTCTCCATCTATTTTATTTTCTTCTCAACAGAAGACATTATTTTCTCCTCAACGGAAGTCATATTATTTTCCACATTAGCGGAAATTTCGTTTTTTACAGTTCATCAAATTTCTAGAGGTGTTCGACGCCCAGACAGAGAACGCGCTACGTGTGACTAAGATGGCTATTGTACAGTCTGCTAAACAAGTTATTTTAAATAGTTTTTATTATTTTTAGGTAATTAAATTTTAAAAGTGAGGAATAGTTTAGGGATTAAATTGGTCTGATTGGACTTTCTTAGAACGTTTTTAAAAGCAGCTAAAGATAGTATGTAGAATTGAAAATAATTATTATGCCATAAAAGGTGTTTTGGAATTCCTTCAACCTTTTGAAGTTGAGTCAGAAAATATAAATTTTATAGGATAGCGGAAAATACCTATAATTTTTTTGTAGGCCTTTGTAAATCGTGGAAATAGTTTATATTTTATTTCTACCTTATTAAGGAAAATGGTACCTATTATTAATAACGGTTGTTTCTGAAACATTACTAAAATTTTCGAAATTTTGTTTTTCTACAAAATAATAAACTATACTATTTAGAAAAAAATTTATTTCTCTTATAATTTTATAAAAAATAACGGGAATATTTACATTTCTTGATCTATTAAACAAAACGATAAATTATCTCGACGAATGACACCATGTTCTAGTACAGAAGCTAGCTTTACATTTTTGTTGGTGGTTTCATGGGTTTCATATCAATTTTTTGTAATTGTAGTTTACACGTACATATACCTCTTAACACTTGTTTGCTTTATTAAAAAAGTGTGTTGTTGTGATTTACGTCGAAATAAGTCAAAAACAACTTGAAACCCCATATAAAATCAAAAAGGAGAAACGGAAAAAATTGAGCCTGTAAATGAACACAACTCAGAAACAAAAATAGCTATCTAATAATAAAAAAATAAAATTTGATTCTTGTGCAGCTTCATCTATATCATTAACTGTTTTTGGTTTTTTAATGGTTTTTCTTGGTGATGAAAATTCCGATATCTCACGGTTATCGATTCTTTTTTTCTCTCCAGAAATGCGGACGACAGTGTTTTTAGATACTCCTGTGGCTGCAGCAACACGATCATTTACATTTTTAAATGGTATTGAAGGTGAATTAAAGTTTCCTTCTCTTCTCATAAACTCTATAACATTGGCTATTATTTCGCGAGATTGACTGTTAATCACGCGGCCTCTTAATTTGCTATTAAACTCCATACTTAGGTTCTATTAAACTGTAATGAGCAAAAAAACACAAACGAAAATAAAAGAAATGTTTTAGCGAAATTTACATCTGACATTTACGTCTGAATGAAATAGTGAAATACTTGATGCGCAGAGTGTACTTTCATTGCGTAAATCCGTCGGGATGCCTGTCAGTAGTGCTTTCTCTGTCTAGCCGTCGAAAGCCTCTAGAAATTTGATGAACTGTAAAGAAGACATTTCGGAAGATACCATTTCTTCTAAGGAAGAAATATTAGACGAAAATTTATTTTCCATAGAAGACATTTTGTTTTCCAAATCGGAAGAAATTTCGGTTTTTAAAGAAGATATGTCAAAAATTACCTTTTCTTCTAAGGAAGAAATATCGGACGAAACTTTTCTTTCTAAGGAGGAAATATCTGAAGAAACTTTAGTTTTTAATGAGGAAATATTAGAAGAAATATCGGTTTTCATGGAGGTCATATCAGACGACATTTCGATTTTTAAGCAAGATATTTTATTTTCCACGGAAGAAATTGAAGAAATTATTGCAGAAGATGCATCATCCGAAAACAGATACGTTTCCGGATCTAATCCTTCCTTTCTAGTGCTTCCTTAAGACGTTCTGCCAACTCTGTTTTATTCCCTGTTGTCTTCAGATCACGATATTCTAGTTCTGGTATATTCGATATTCGAGACGCAGTCCGACTGTCCACACGTCAGCGGTGCTTCGATCATGAATCGGTAACAGGTTGAAGGTTGCTTAATAGACAGGGTCGGTTACGCGTCACAATATTATGCAAGGTCAATGCCTATAACAGATTCTTACGATAAGTATTTATCCCAAGTAGGTACCTGCGACTCTTATTAGACAGCTAAATATTTAATTCCCCATAAACAAGAAAAACCATACTATAGAATTGGTAGATTGCCTAACAATACATTTTTACAAATACGCTGTGTTGACAGTTCTTTTCTATTAGACCAACTTAACTGAGAACATAAAATAAAAGTACGGTTGTTTTGCCGAACGATTTTTGCGATATAATTGACAAAATATGGAGTTTAAAGAGTGTATGTACGTAGAAAATGATTAACTAAAATTCAAATTTAAATCATGTTTTTAAAAACCGGAAATGCTGTGGCGTCCTTAATAGCTATTAACAAACTACTATACCTTTTAGATGTATGTAAAGAATTTCTCAAAATCCCAGCCTTCAATAGAAAAATCCAGTTGTGTTTAGAGGAGACGTTCAGCATTTTATCATTACTACTGAACAACCTTACGGATTCGTGTAATCTGGATTTAATGGAACTAGTAGACATTACAATTGCATTGCTCAACCGTTTTTTACACCCCGATCCCATTGAACCGATATACGATAACCGAATAATAGTAAACGTTGTGAATTTCATTTGGGAAGTGATTATCAGATACGAAAACGTTTGCGAACTGTTTTTTAAACGAAATGGAGTGTATGTAATGTTGGATATATTACAAGTACGTATTTAATTATCTAAGTAAATACATTCGCAAAACTGCGTTTAATATTTAACATTTAAAGGAAATTAAAATCCTGGTGCCCGTAAACGTAATGGACACACGAATTTCGAAAAAAAAATTGAACTAGATAATAGTATAAGTGTATATATGAAATAACACAAAAAAATTGCGGATTACGCATAAATAACAGTGTTCCGTCTCAACTGCAACGTGACAACGCCGCAAAGAGTGCCATCTTCACAACGTGATGTATGCAAAATTGCCGACCGTCCTTTGACTTGAAACTTGCATTTTTGTTTTATGTTTGTTAACATGTTTTGTAACCTCACATTTTAATTTTCGATATTTCGATGTTGTACACTCCGAGCAATTACTATAGTCTATTTTTATGTATGAGAGAGTAATAAAACAGCATTTCTAATGCAAAACTTAGTACGGTAATTTTAAATATTTTTACAGAATAATCTAAATATTTCCTAAAATTGTAATAAATATACCTGAGCTATTATAAGTTTTGGGTCTTTTATGGGTCCTTTATAAACATAAGCTGTACAGAACAATAGAAAAAGGTTTGGACAGGCCAAAAGCCCTGTGTAATAAAGATTACATAGCCGTATCTTAAGATTATTTTCAATAAGTACCTATTTGCCAATTTTGTTTTATTTTAATTCCAAGAATTTCTTACGGTAATCGAATTATAAGTAGATAAATACCTTTCCAACAAATTTCACCGAAAATGCGATTATAGGTTTTCCATTTAGTAAGGAGGTCCAAGTTGTGTATTCTTGACAGTTTACTAAATGTCGTTTAGTTGCAACTTGCAAAGGTGCACTGTGAATTCTAGTGTGATCATGGAAAATTTGGAAGGGCCGCGTAAACGACAAAAAATCGGTCCTTTAACAGTTAATGAAAAAAAAAAATAATATTTAATTGTTTTAAATCATTTACAGACAAACATTTATGTAAAAGTGTTGTTGACACAGTGGAATTAGTTAGTAGTACGCTTGGTGTTGGGAAATCTACGATTTACAGAGTTGTTAAAAAGAGAAATGTGGCGAGTTTCAAACAGCACGTAAAGCTCCAGGAAAACCAAAATTTAAATTAGAAAATCTTTTGAAAGAAAGACTTCAAAGGAAAGTGCATGCGTTCTTCTTTAGAAAAGAATTTTCGACAGTAGACAAAGTTCTTGCCACGGTTCGAGATGATAAGGATTACCCTGAAATGAGTCGAAGCACACTATCGAAACTTTTAAAAGAAATAGGTTTTCTATGGAAAAAGCATTCCAGAAAGTCTATTTTAATAGAAAGAAGCGATATTGTAGTATGGAGAAGAAATTACCTAAGGACTATAAAAGAAATGAGAAACCAAAGAAGAAATATATTTTATTTAGATGAAACATGGATCAACGAGGGACATAAACCAAATAAATTTCGGCAAGATGAAACTGTTACAAGTCGAAGACAGGCTTTTTTAAATAATTTATCTACTGGTTTAAATCCACCATCAGGAAAGGGGCGCATACTAATAATAGTACACATCGGTAGTTCAAACGGTTTTGTTAAAGGTGGTTTATGGACTTTTGAATCTACTCATACCGGTGACTACCATGAGGACATGAATGCTGATGTCTTTAAAGAGTGGTTCGAACAAATTATAGATCTTCTTCCTCAGAACTGTATAATAGTAATGGATAATGCAAGTTATCACTCGAGACTTATAGAAAAAATACCCACAACCAAGTGGTTAAAAAAAGATTTACAGAATTGGCTAAATTCAAAGAATATTAAGTTCCATCCCAGTTCTGTGAGAAAAGAACTGTATTATTTGTGTTCCCTTCATAAAGAGAAATTCAAAAAATATGAAATTGATGAAATTGCAAAAAATTGTGGGATGACGGTGGTTAGATCACCATCATATTATTGCGAAGTAAACCCGATTGAACTGATATGGGCACAGATAAAGGGAGAAGTTTCAAGAAAAAATAATTCTTTTAAAATGAGTGATGTTAAACAGTTGTTTTTGGAGGCTGTAAATAATATGAAGCCTGAAAACTGGAAAGAGGCAGTAAATCATACGATTAAAGAAGAAGAGAAAATGTGGAAGTTGAACAATATTACTGATGAAATGATCGAGCCACTCATTGTAAATATTGGTTGCGACAGTTCATCTTCTGATTTCGATTCTGATTTGGATTTGTAGGTAAGAAGTAGTTTTTATATTAAAATTATTATTTATGAACGTAACGTTGTTTAAAAGTCAAAGTTTAAACCCTTATACCTACATAACCCGTTTGACACAATGTACTTAACATACCTTGTGGAAAAATAAAACATTATAGAAAAAATTGCTCTTTTTTACCTTCAACTGTTTAGAAGTAATAAGCAGGTTAATTAGGTAAACATATAAGTGTATACTCGAGGAATAACTTCAAAAAATATTTTAACTGTCTACTAAAAGAAGTGGTACGCCTATGGATTACGAACGCTTTATTATTTTAATACTCTCTCATACATAAAAATAGACTATAATAGAGGGAGCGTGAAAACGAGTTTGTAGGCGATTGTTGTGTTAGCAACATCTGTAGAGGAAGTGAGGAAGCGGGCACAAGGGGGAAGGTAAACATCCTTCTTGTCCAGTGGCGTATCATTTATCTATAAAAACACACATTGTCCAAACGTTTTAATTATAAAAAAAAACTAAAAAATTTGCTAATTTTACTATTTTTAAAATGAATACCGTCTTATATGTGTCTAATGCAGGAAATGAAACAAAATCACTCTAAAGGTCTAATTTTTTCAATTAAAGAATAAAACCTTAAAATCTATTTTATTATAAATAAATACAGGAGCGACTAGTTTCGGCCTTACATCTTCAGGCCTGTAATACAATAATCTTTAATTATTATAATAGATTGGTCACTTACGAATGATATTAAATAGTATAAACCACAAAAATGGATCCATATTGTAGCGTTACAGCATTATAGAATTAAAGCTGTAAAAATAAAAGAGCAGTGCAAACGTAACTAAAAATAAGAAAACTGAGTACGGAATCTACAAGAGAAAAGGTGAGAATGAGCCATTACAAATAAATACATTTAAATTGCTCGGGATAAGAAATAAAGCTGTGATAATGTAAAGTAGTGGTATAGTCCCCGTCAAAGAAGGTCTGGATATGTTAAAGAGGACGGCGTTTTCTCTATAAATCTGGAGAATGTAAGGATGGAGGGAAGACGAATCTTGCTGGCTCAGGTGTAGATGGCTAGAAAAAGGAGCGTGTAGATGAAAGCTCCAGTAAATATCGTCACTTTCGTCTAATTTTTTATTCTCACTCACCGTTTCGGCTTTATCTTCTAAATTCATTTTTAAAAGGAAATAAAAGTAATGATTCATACAAGCATATAATAAAACAACATGAATTCAATATATTTAATAAGCTAATAAACGTTTGTTTCAATGAAAAAACATATATGTGAATATCAAAATCAATTTGAAAATACAACAGATAATAAAATGAAATAAATTAATACAAGTACAAATAGAAAGTTAATAACATACTTTCTAAAAGTAACACATTTTAAGTAGATAAATGTTTAAAGAGTTTATTCCTGGACATAACTAATCTAACGTTTTTCCCCTTTTTAATATTATGAGGGTTTTTTTAGTTGAAATAAAAATTATAATTTATTTTGGTCCTAATAAAAATTTAAACATAGGTTATCAAAGAGTAAAATACATAATAGAACTTCATAATCTTAAATCGTTATCAAAAATTATTAATAGTAAAACTTCAAACAATAATTAGATTCTTAAACAAATTTCTGGTTTTTGTTTTGCAAAAGACTTTTTTGCCTTCTTCGGTTGCCTCTGCCACTTTTCTTTTAGTAGTTCCGAGGAGAATTTTCCTATGGAAACCAGTAGAACCATCAATTGGTTGGTAAAATTTTGATATTTTGGGTCTGGTAAGTCTTGTTAAACTTTCTTCTTAGGAAGCTGTAACCTTATGGAGAATAAAAATTTAATGTTAGATCAAAATGCTCTTAATTGAGAATTATATTTGCAAAGGCCGTTTTAATAATATTTTCAAAAGTTCTTGGAATCGTTGTTAACAGAAACCTGCAAAAAAATATATAATTTTATTCCTAAAATAAAAGATATCACACAATGCACATTCATATAATATCATTGTGCTAGAAAAATACTAGGTAGGTACTGAGACAATTTAAAAAAAGTATTTCGAGAAACTCAACTTTTAATGTAATCATTGTACTTAACTTTTTTATTACTAAATTATTAATAATGTCTTTTTGTGTAGTTCGTTGTGATTTGTATAATATACATTATAAAAACCTATCGTCAATGTTAATGTGCCAAGTTTTTTTAATAATTATGTCCTTGTTATAGTAAAAACACATTTAAACACATTTTTAAAGTTTTCTGGATTTCTGCTTTAAATTATCGTACAATTGAACTCTAATTGTGTGTTTAAGTAAAGGTATATCTCTTTTTTGTTATAACAGTCTTTGTATATTGTTCTAACTTTTTAGATAATCAGAGACAGTAAGACATCTTAATATATCCTATTTCACCAACAAAAATGTGGAATAATTAATCTCACATTAAACGAAAAAAGTCATTTTAGGATATCCTAATAGGTTTTAACTTAAAAACTAAATAAAATGTATATTGCAACTGTGTTTAAATAAATGAATGTTTTTATACCTGACTATAGCACCAGATAAACATTCTTTTAGACCATAATGATCTGCATAACTCAAAATAGTCAAAATCCACATTATTTAAGTTGTTCTAGTATTGTTTTAACATAACGATGTAAACTCCAATAATAAATATTCACATTTTTTTGGGACGATTTTTAAGGAAATTAAAAAAAAAACGAATAATGTGATATTCTTGTTTAGTTTTGTACTATATAATATAGTTCATTGGGTAGTGATTTAGAAGCAAATTATGTTCTATTTATAGAATAAAAAATCACACATAATATCTAAATATTTATACCTATTTATATTTTGGACAGGAAGACTATTTTAAGTTTTTGGCTCTGAATAATTTTTTTAAGAATTTTAAAACCTTCCTTAGCTCTTTTGGGATATTTCATGCATATCTTAGAAGTTCATTTTGTTTAAACCTAAAACAAATTAAGTACAAAAAGTGAAAATTTAAACAATACACAAAATTAGTCTTTTAGATTAGTTAAAAAAAAGTATCAACAAAAAAATGGCTATGCCTTTTTCCTTAAACATTCTTTTTGAAAGAAACTTAAGTTTCTCTACTTACTTGCTGTTTTAGTATTTTAGTAGCAGATGAATATAGTGTAGAAGTAGTGACAGGATTGATTATTATACTTCTTTCGTCGAAATTGCATTTTTCTTTAATATTTTCCTCCCCTGAGGTCTGTAATAAAAATGTTCATTAGCATAAAAAGTAATTCAGGTGGTCACTTGAATTCCTATATTTTGGAACCATGTATTTCTTTCTCATATCAAGAAAAGGAAACCTAAAAAAAATAACAATAAACTTTACAAAGATGTGATATTAAAATAATAATAAGTAATTAACCTATACTATAATCATTATGAGACGGATGAAGACGAACTTAGCTGGAGTTTACTTGCTTTTACTTTTAATTTTTCGATAAGAAAATAAGAAAGTTTAATTGCAAATTAAAGGTGATTGCCTAATGCACCGCCTCTGATAATTAGGTTGTGTCTGTACTTACTTATGATATTATCTTGAAGAAGCATTTTCAACAGGCCTTTTACACATAAAGCATGTTTTCACCATATTATTAAAGATAATAAATCTTAAATATACATTTACAACCCTTGCAACGTTATAAATAATAATATTTTCCTACGACCACTTAGGAAAGTGACACATATCACACTATATAGTCCTATGGAAAGTGCCCTATATCACACGCGTATGAATAAGAATTTACTTTCCACCCGAGTGAGAATATGTTACTTTCCGCAGTAGTTGTCACAAAATGTCAAACAGCTAATTTCTATTTTGATCTATGTAATATCCATATTAATACTAAAATCGATATGATTGTTAAATTATTGAAATTGTTGTAAATTAGATCCTAGATATTTATCTTTAACAATTATTATTAAAATAATTTTAAAATAATGTTTGCTCTTTATTCTGGTTGAATTCATAATCGATTAGATCATTCAATTGACACAAGGGCTATTAGCTCAGGTGGTTAGGACGTCAAACTTATCAACTTTGCCATTTTTCGACCGCGTTCAATCGATGGTTCAAATCCTGGCGTGGCAGAAATTTTTTTTTATTTTTTTTTTATTTTTTTTCTAGTTTTTTTTTATTTAAAAAATATGAAAATTGAATAAATACGATTATTGTTGATTATTTTTTTAAATACATTTTAATTATTATAGTAATAATAACCTTGGTTTTACATTTTTTTGATGATATTATTTTGTGGTCGTAGGAAAAATATTGTACATCACTTGTGTGAAAAGTGATTTTCCTACGACCACTTAGGAAAGTGACACATATCACACTATATAGACCTATGGAAAGTGCCCTATATCACACGCGTATGAATAAGAATTTACTTTCCACCCAAGTGAGAATATGCTACTTTCCGCAGTAGCTGTCAGAAAATGTCAAACACATAATTTCTATTTTGATCTATGTAATGTCCATATTTATGCTAAAATCGATATGATTGTTAAATTATTGTAAATTAGATCCTAGATATTTATCTTTAACAATTATTTTTAAAATAACTAAGATATATTTGCTTTTTATTCTGGTTAAACACATAAGCGATTAAATCAATCAATTACCGTAAGGCCTGTTAGCTCAGTTGGTTAGAGCATCAACTTTGCAATTTGAGACCGTCCAACGACCGCGATCGAATCCTGGCTGTGCCAGAATTTTTTTTTTTATTTTTTTTTTATTTTTTTATTTGTTTAGAAATTATGAAAATTTAATAAATACGATTATTGTTGATTATTTTTTTAAATACATTTTAATTATTATAATAATCTGGTTTTACATTTTTTGATGAAATTATTTTGTGGTCGTAGGAAAAATATTGTACATCACTTGTGTGAAAAGTGATTTTCCACACTCGTGTGATAGTCGCACTCGGCTTACGCCTCGTGCGACAATATTTCCCACTCGTGTGAAAAATGTCACTTTCCACACTCGTAATGTAATATACTATTTCCGTAAAATACAAATAAGAAATTGACATTCAGAAAGTGTCAGAACTGGCGCTGTCAAATTTGGCAACGCTGATTAAATAAGCCAATTACACAAGAGGTATTTTCCCCCTCGGGGGTAGTAGATGTTGCTAACAAAATTTAGCGCGGGGAAGGGGGGAAGACTCCCTCTAGTAGTAATTGCTCGGAGGTTGTACACATATATTTGGCAACAAAGAAGTGAAGTCGTGAATAGATTCAGTTTTACAGTCCACTGATTAACCAATAATAATTAATTTAGATCACGACTAAACAAACAGAGAAATTTGAGTTAAAACCTCAGATAAATAAATAATATTAGATATTTGAATAATCAGTTTCCTTATCATTTGTTAGCCCTACTAGGTATCTGTTGAAGGATTCTTCTTTGTGATTTAGGATTTCTCTTCTTAGTCTTTGGGTAGCCCTATTTAATATATTTGTATCTTCTGGTGATTTTGTCATCTGCCATTTCTTTCTTAGTTTTCTTTTTTTTTGCTACCAGTTCTCTTATGTCGATAGGATAGTTTTTTCCAGCTATTAATCTTCTTATTCTTGGTGTGTTCCTCCATGCAGCTTGCTGGATTTCAATTATAAACCTTTCCAGTTCTTTATTTAGCTTATTCTTCGTTTTTAGTGTTATGGTCAGTTAAATAGTATTTGTCCTTTTGAAAACCTCTCCAATTAGTTTTACGATTTGCTATGGTCGGTTTTGCTTTTTTTTGAATAACTTATTTAAGTTTTCTTCCACTTGTGTATAGTTTGGTGAAATTTTCCTCAGAATAAAGAAATCCAAAAGGTCTGGAATCTTATTTGGGTCGGTGGACCAATAGCTGGGTTTTTCAGAAGATTGATATGTACAACCAAGTTCTGATGCAACTCGATCCAATTCTTTTTCTTTGACTGTGGTTAATCTTGAACCCCATTTGATGTTTTTGGAGTTGTAATCTCCACCGATTATAAATTTGTTACCTAGTTTTTTGAATACATTGAGATAATTTTATTTTTTCTGGTTGTATCTTGGTGGGCAATAGATTGGAGCTATTGTAATTTTGTCCCCGTTAATGTTAATAATGCTAATGGTTACCTGATTTTCACATAACATGTGAGTTTAAAGATTCGGACATTTCAGCTTGGGATGTTTATATGTTATAATAAAAATGTATTCATTTGTAACAAAGTAATTTCCAGGCATATCCTTATCCTGTCCAACTTATCACCCTCGGAACGTTGGTCGACATGTGTGAATACAGCGAAGGAAAATGCATCCCTTATTTAATAACTTGGAAAGGCAAGAATGGAGTAACACTTGTGCCACTATTGATGGAGATTTTTAGAAATGAAAACAAAATGCTGGGTGTGAAAAGCGAGCCTAACGGACAAATTGGAGGTAAATAATTTTATTACTGCCATCTACGAGAATAAATATTATTCATTAGAAAATTTTCATTCTTAGAAAAATGAATATGAAGGATCAGGTAGAAAAAGGTACATAGTCTTTAACGGTACTCGTAACACAAGTGACTAAATTGGTGTCTTCAATTAGCTAACAGTGACATTAATAACTTTTTATAGTAGTCCTCAATATTCATTTGATTACCGCTGAGTAAGGTTGTGTTAAACTTCGAAAGCCAGTAGATAAGTTAGGTTTTAATAAAATTGCTAATTGATCTTGATCAGATTGTAATAATCGTAAATTCTTTACTTGGGGCATTTATTAAAAAAAAAATATTGGCCTAAATTTAAAAAAATTTATACCAAAATTCTTTTCATCAAATTTTAAACAACTTTTAAAAATGTCAAAAACGAAAAATAATATTAATTTGAAATTTTCAGTAAAAATCAAGCTTTATAATGGCGCAAAGTCTATGAATAAAAAAGTGAGAGTAAGTGGGGTTAAAATTAAAAAAAATTATAAATTAAAAACGAAAAGTGATATTAACAAGAAATTTTTAATAAAAATCAATCTCTATAAGGGGATAAATTTTATTAATTCTGTAAAAAAATTTAAGGGGGGTAAAATTATTAAAAAGTCCTAATTCTTAATCAAAAAACGATGATATAAACTTGAAGTCTTTAGGAAAACTCAAGATAAATAAGGGGATAAAGCTTATTAATTCTGAAAACAAAAAATGTTTAAAAAAGGGGGGTTAAGTAAGATTAAGGGGATTAAAGGGGTCTGTTAAACTGTAAAGAGTATAATATAGAGCACCAAGCATTATATAGTTTCATTCTAGTTATTTTTAAAATTACTTTTTTTTGTGACAGATACCGATCATCCACTGATGGGAAGAGCACAATATGACCAAATATTCGTAAAGAAGAATTACAAAATAAGTCCAGCGGTAGCCGACATGTTTGCTAGTTGTAGACCAAAAATTTACGCAATTTTGACTTTGATGAACGAACGATACCGATCGATATTGAAACTTGCAAATGAATGCTATAAAACATATAACGAGGGACAATCGGTACACGATAAGGTAAAATTGTTTTTAAATTTTTTATTATTATCGTTTACGTTATTTTGACAGGTATGCTATATTTTTTATATACGATGGTCATTTTCTTTCAGCTAGGCCTATTTAGTAGGCAATATAAATTTTGTCTGACATTTCAATTTAGTTGCTTACGAGTTTGGTTGGTAATAGTTATCAAATATACCTCATATTTTTCATACCAGGGCGTAAGAAGTTTCACTTATTTGTTTTTGATTATTTCTATTAATTTTTATGTATTTTTACGTATTTTTACGTATTTTTACGTATTTTTACGTATTTTTACGTATTTTTACGTATTTTTACGTATTTTTACGTATTTTTACGTATTTTTACGTATTTTTACGTATTTTTACGTATTTTTACGTATTTTTACGTATTTTTACGTATTTTTACGTATTTTTACGTATTTTTACGTATTTTTACGTATTTTTACGTATTTTTACGTATTTTTACGTATTTTTACGTATTTTTTACGTATTTTTACGTATTTTTACGTATTTTTACGTATTTTTACGTATTTTTACGTATTTTTACGTATTTTTACGTATTTTTACGTATTTTTACGTATTTTTACGTATTTTTACGTATTTTTACGTATTTTTACGTATTTTTACGTATTTTTACGTATTTTTACGTATTTTTACGTATTTTTACAAATTTTTACGTATTTTTACGTATTTTTACGTATTTTTACGTATTTTTACGTATTTTTACGTATTTTTACGTATTTTTACGTATTTTTACGTATTTTTACGTATTTTTATGTATTTTTATGTATTTTTATGTATTTTTTTGTATTTTTTATGTATTTTTTTGTATTTTTATGTATTTTTATGTATTTTTATGTATTTTTATGTATTTTTATGTATTTTTATGTATTTTTATGTATTTTTATGTATTTTTATGTATTTTTATGTATTTTTATGTATTTTTATGTATTTTTATGTATTTTTATGTATTTTTATGTATTTTTATGTATTTTTATGTATTTTTATGTATTTTTATGTATTTTTATGTATTTTTATGTATTTTTATGTATTTTTATGTATTTTTATGTATTTTTATGTATTTTTATGTATTTTTATGTATTTTTATGTATTTTTATGTATTTTTATGTATTTTTATGTATTTTTATGTATTTTTATTTATTTTTATGTATTTTTATGTATGTTTATGTATTTTTATGTATTTTTATGTATTTTTATGTATTTTTATGTATTTTTATGTATTTTTATGTATTTTTATGTATTTTTATGTATTTTTATGTATTTTTATGTATTTTTATGTATTTTTATGTATTTTTATGTATTTTTATGTATTTTTATGTATTTTTATGTATTTTTATGTATTTTTATGTATTTTTATATATTTTTATGTATTTTTATGTATTTTTATGTATTTTTATGTATTTTTATGTATTTTTATGTATTTTTATGTATTTTTATGTATTTTTATGTATTTTTATGTATTTTTATGTATTTTTATGTATTTTTATGTATTTTTATGTATTTTTATGTATTTTTATGTATTTTTATGTATTTTTATGTATTTTTTTGTATTTTTATGTATTTTTATGTATTTTTATGTATTTTTATGTATTTTTATGTATTTTTATGTATTTTTATGTATTTTTATGTATTTTTATGTATTTTTATGTATTTTTATGTATTTTTATGTATTTTTATGTATTTTTATGTATTTTTATGTATTTAGGTGTGTTTTACGTGTATGTATTAGGTGTGTTAAATGGAACGAAAACAAAACGGCTACATCAATCAATCTCTATATCAGATATAATAATTAAAAATTTTTTTTTTATGTAGGTGTGTTTTACGTGTATGTATTAGGTGTGTTAAATGGAACGAAAACAAAACGGCTACATCAATCAATCTCTATATCAGAAATAATAATTAAAAATTTTTTTTAGATGACTCTACTATTGGCAGAAAATTATTTAGGACTAAAATGTGGCGAAGCTTGGGAGGAAATAAAATATGAATTTGAACAAATGGAGTTCGAACCATTATCGGTAGATGTCAGCATCATAGAATCTTTAATCGAAAGAACTCATAAATGGGGACGAGTTTTAAAGGAATCGCAGGAAGAACTACTTTACCTTAAAAAAATGCAAGTAAGTGAAACTTCTTTAAACATTTTATATATAATCAGTTTATGAGATTATGAGAAGGGATATCCTACTATAATAAAGTGCCAATGTCTGTTTGTTCATATCACAATCTCGGCTGTAATAATATAAGTACTTATATATCCCTGTAAAGCCAGCTTTTGCTATGACCATCCATTAGTGACGTAAAAGTTAAATCCTATAAATGCTCCGTGGACTCGTAATATAGTATTGAAACAGATGCTAGATCCACTGCCCCAAATAGATGAACCCGGTCAAGAAGAATTTGCAGAACAATTTTTAAATGAAAATTATGATATATTTATTGATATTATATAATTATATACATTTTTTCAAACTTCTTTGTCAATGATTTATGATGTTATATTGGGGATTATCTCCTGAGTCATAAAATTTTTGCTATTATACATTTTCAAATAAACTATAAGAACAATGTACTTATCGATAGTATTTTTGGGATATTTTAAAGAAAAAAAAAAACATATAGTGCGATCATAAAGTATGGAAACACTCCATTATCTTACGAGTTAATTACTTTTCCATGTAAAGCACTACGAGTACTTGGTCATTTTTAATTTTTTTTTCAAAATATTAATTTTTATTCCAACTAGCTAAAAAGATATGACGCCATCGATATTTTTTTTTTTAATTGAAAACATATATTTTTATATCAAAAATTAAAAGCTCATATACTGAAAGTACGGGCCCCACAGTTAACGTATGTAGATTTCAATCTGAAACACCCTGTATAAATACTAGCTTTTGTATTAATATTTGTTGACAGAGTTTTTCTTCTTTTATATTTTACGGCATTTTAAGATATTACGGATAATATTTTAAAATCGTTCTATTTTACAGGATGTCGCCCAAGAGTACAAAATCTACAACAGAATACAAGACAGTCGTATAACGTCCTGTTTACTGAGCATTAACGAAGCAAAATACATAGCAAGATGTACCGAGCGTATGTTCCGCATTGCGCAAAAATTCAGTCAAATTCATCAGGTGGAAAAAGCGATGGCTAAGATCTCTCATGGTCCGTCTCTGCACAAAACTTTCATGAAAATGTTACCGATAACTGTAAGTATTCTGTCTTATTCTGATTTAATACGAGTGTATTCAATGAGCAAAGTGTGAAGAAAAGGCACTTTACTCTTGAGTCTATTTCTGATTTCACTTGTATAAAACATTCTAAATTTTAGTTAATTTAGCTTGTAGATTTTAGAATCACTTTGTATTTTAACGATTCAGTTAGTGGTCTGACAACTAATGTCAGATAATAAAAAAAATATTTTAATGTCTCGTCCGCTATCCTTGAATGAATCAAAAGTTACCTGTAAGTTAAAAAATAAATAGTTGAACGAACCAACATCTTTAAGAGTTATTGCTCCGTTCATGAGAACTAATTTGTCGGCATATTACTCCTATTATAAAAATTCAAAATTCCAAGAACGGGTCGTCCAACTACATTTCCCCTATCATAGGAAATGGATCGGCGATTTATTTATTTATACCAAAGAATACCTACCCAAGAAGCGAAACTAAATGGGCGATTCGTGGACAAAAAACTGCCAAGTTTTCTCAGTGTTTTAGAGGTGGTTTAACGTCAAATATAGCTGTCAATTTATGTAGAGCAACCAGAGAAACGTTTGGTATATTATTATTAGCGTTTTGTGAAAATTGCCGTATAGTTAAGTAGTTAGTTGTATTTAACTAAGTAGTAATTAGAAATTAGATAGTTTTAAAATTTAAATTACAAGAAAAAAAAAATACATTGCGTTATTCGTAAATTTTATTGAACGTTCTTGCATCTGGCTGTCAATGTTTTGTTTTAATTTCTAAATCAGTATTACCTATAATGATAATTTACGCCTATATTATGCATCGTTTAATTTCTTACTCTTTTATTTAAATATGTTATTTTTTTTTTGTTTTTCAAACCATTCAAATTAAAACAGTAAATAAATACAAACAATAATTAAAAGATATGACAAACTCACTTCGAGAAACCAAGTCGCTGCTATCAGGATGCAATTGAAATGCATTTACAGCTACCTACAGTACTTCTGGATATGTAACGTGTAGAGGGTGGGTTACCCAACGGCATTTAGTCCTCACTATGCCCATTGTTGTATCCTCAGAAAATGATAGGCACTTCCTAGCTCATGAGCCAGCCTACACATTTAATGAAGTTGACAACGTCGCCAAGAGGTGCTTCTCTTATATCGGCCGGTGTTAGCCAATACTCGCCGAAAATAAATGAGAGCGACTGGCAATCGTAGAGGATATGTTCAATGGTTTCATCTTTTTGTTTGCACCCCCTGCGGGTGCGAATTCTGACAGTCCCATGATATGGAGATGCTTCCGTACTTGGCAATGACTAGTCAGAATGTCTGTGATAAGACGCAGATTCTGTCTAATCATAGTCAAGTATTTGTTTGTTGTAATGTTGTCAGGATAACTTAAAATCTCCCTGGTAACTCAGCAGATTCTTGTTTCATCCCATCTTTCCTTCAATTTCACAAGAGAATATTCTTTATTTAGGTCTGTCACTACCGATGTTGTCAGTCCAATAGAAGGGCCAGGTCCAAAAAGTATTTGGTTGGCCGCCATCTTGGCTAGTGAATCAGCAATAAGGCCACCTTTCGTTGTGGCGTCACCTTTGCTCCATATTGGATGGATACCCTTGCCAAAGCTTCGTGACATTCTAGTACTAACCCTGAGTAAATTCGTATTCTGTTCAGGGTAAGTAGTGCTTTTCCGCTATCTGTATGGATGAGTATGTTCCTACCAGCGATTTCTTTTGCTGCTATGAGAACCTCCGTGAGCTCCGTGAACTACATTGGCACTATTGCGCACTATTGCGAAGTTTATGTTGAGGTTTAAGGAATTGGAGTATATTCCACACCCTGGGCATTGTTTTGTTTTAGAACGGTCTATGTAGATACTTAGGTACCATTTTTTTCTTTAAATTAATTGAGATCATTACCCGTATGCACGCCAATGATGAACATAAAATTCTTAGTTGTATGTCAAAAAATGCGGAATAACTACCTCTTAAAATCCACCAAATTTCATTTGCATATCTTGACCGGTTTTAGAGCAATAAACACATCGTCAGTTTTTAAGAAAAACTTTAACACCCCGTATTCGGAAAACGAAGCATTTTCAGACATACGTTTATAAAACAAACTGTCATTATTTTTTCATGCTGAATCACCCCCTTAAGTTTGTCACACTTATTTACTAACACCCTGTATATAGACCGAAATAATTCTGAATTTCATTCTCTTAAACCAATAGCATAAGTTACGTTAAATGGTGTAAATTAATATATTTTATATATTTGTACAAAATAAAATATTAAGTCATCTTCTTGCTTTATTTATTATATGCTGAAAAGAGGGCATCCAAGGAAATATCTTTCTGTAAAAAATTATAAAATCTACAAATTATTAGATCACTACAACAGCAGACAGCAACAAAATCAGGAAAAACTTGTAAGTAAAACTATTTTCTCCACGTTTCATTCATAGATAAGTCAGAAAACATGTAAATTATTAATATAATAAGAAACATTTGTTAAATACATTATTTATAAGGCTGATTTATAGATTTTATTATATTAGTAGCTTAGTTGATATTCTTTGCAAAATAAATTATTTTAGAAAATATAATATATACCTACTATACAAATATAATTCTTTTACCTAATTTTTTCTAATCAAACTATGTTTTAAATATATTAAAACATTGCAAATTCTATATTGAAAACAAAATTATCTCATGTAATAAAATTTCCCTCTTCGCACCAACTGAGCAACAATAAATTTAAGTTCGATCCTATGTACCCTTATTCCGTATCTGGCCAAATTTAAATACTAGGTAAACAAGGAAGGCAACAGCAGGCATCCTTCAGTACGAACACGGAACGTATTGAGAGGGGATATCGTAATCATATTTTTCAATCATTTTTACATCCGAAATTACTTTGCTATTTTAATGATTACGGCTTTATATTAAGTCCAATTTTAAAAATTATTTGTTGATCTTATTAAGAAAAAGATTTACTACAAGTTGACATTAATCGTTCGAAAAATAATGCATGTTTTAACGTTAATTCTCTATTACCAGTTGTCCTTTTTTAAACAAAATTAATAAAGTTTATAATTTTTGTAGACAAAACGGACCATTTTTTCAAAAAAGTATGAAAACCCAGGGCTAGTGCCACTTATTCTCTTTGCACATAAAAAAATATATGGTATTATCTTTAAAACTGTGTCTTTTAGGATTAAAACAGAATGCCTATTTTTAATACAAATTTCCTGCTATTGTCATCGGAGCAATAACTCTTAAGTTATATTTGGAAAACTAGTCATAGGATCTAATTGTACCAATAGGAATTTTAAACGAGTACATCGAGTGTGATATTTTCGGTATTTCAGCTATTTTTGTTCGGTGGAAATACCTACTTTGACCAAAAAAGATCTGCCGAATCAATAATGACCCTGTAAGGGACAATATTGTAATTACATTAGTTAAGTATGTATTTTCACTATACAGAATGAGCAAATAACTTCCAAATATATTTGAGGGTGATTTATGGTGTCCATTTTAAAGAATTAGGGATTTCTAACTTCAACACCCTGTATCTCAAAATCTAGTCATAGGATACGATTGGGCACATGGACACTTTTGATGGGGACATCAAGTAATTTAACATATCAAAAATTCAGATATTTTGACGGTACTCCCGTTTGCATAAGAAAAGTGCGTGGTCCTTTGAACGATACATCTGTATTTTGTTACTATAAAGCTTATAACAGCTCCAATTTAGATTTATTTGGTAACTTAAACATGCCACACAATAATTTTGTAAAATTTATCTTTTTTTTTGAGGTAATATTTCAAATAAATTTTGAAACTATTATTATACATAAAAATGTAATAGATACGTTTTAAGTATTTGTAGAAATCAACTTTTTCACATCCATGTGATAAATTTCCACATAATTATTTAATAAAATTATTCGGTAGAGTCAGATTATTTTATACTTTTAAATGTATTAACCGAAATTTTAAAACTATAAAAGACAGAAAGGTTGTCATTTTGAAAGATAAGTGTATATTTTTTTATAAATCTTTTACTTACCTATATTTGTAATGCATGAACTTAAAAAATAAATCAAGAGCTACCCAATATTTTTTTTATTTTCCTGACCTTTTTTTCGGTCTGCCTATGGAATACAAGTAATAACTAAAAGACGAGGTCATAGCTCGTCAGCATTAACTACAATGGAATTAAATGAGAGATATACTGGTTATTATTTATTCTTGTGCTAACACTATATAAAACAAAGTTTAAAAAAATTATAACTTTGACACTCTGTTATTTGGAAACTATCATCTTTTTTTCTGCGGTAAATTGGGCCAGATTCCTATATTTTAGACTAATGATTTGTGCTAGTGTTCTGCAGGGCCGCCCAGAGCCGGGCCGGGCCCCAGAACAATTCTCTAGATCGGGCCCCGTGACAAAAAAAAGCTCCTCAAACAAAAACTTTTCCTTTTCTACTTGAATTGGATTTTCCTAAAAAAAAGTCTTCAAGCTAAAACTTTTCCTCCTCTACTTTAATTGCTTTTCCCCTCTTGTCTTCTCTCGAACTTCTGATACAAAACAAAAAAAAATCCTGTTCCCGGGCCCCCCTTATACCACTACCGGGCCCCCATTTGAGTCCGGGCCCCGGGAATTAGTCCCGGCTACCCTCCCCTCTAGTCGGCCCTGGTGTTCTGTACAGACTTTTCAGGGATACTTTGTATATAACTAGCACCAATATTACATTATGGAAAATCCATAATAAGTTCTTTTACATTTCATGATTTTAGCCTTGTTTAATCCATTTAACCATATTGTTTTAGTGCGTTTTTAAACAAACCGTTCGCCTCAAGAGCGATTTTAAAACAGACGAACGTTCCGATTCGAATGAAAGAACCGAAAATGATTATTGTTACGTTGATGTACCACCACAAGCTATTAAAACGCATCGGCAAACGAACGATCAATCTGGAATACTAACAATTTCCAAGACGGCAATGAAGTCGCTAACTTCAAAACTTGAGATGAAAACCGAACCGGTACAAAATTCCAAAACCGATCTCAAATTGGAAAATTCAAATAGTCAGGAGGCAGCAGGTTTAAAGTTGAATTCGAATCAAGCTTTAAAACATTCAAAACCCGAAGCGATACCTAAAAATCCGAAAACTGCTGTTAAACCCCAATCAGAAATGAAATATCTAAAATCTAAACGAATACATCATTAGTTTTTGTAAAATAAACTTAATAAAATTACTG